GCAATATGACGGATATAATGCTACATGTTTTAGCAGGCAAAAACTGTCTTAAAAAATTGAATTGTAAAGAATTGAATGAGTGAGTGTGTGTGTATGTTAGAATACTAAATTACAATTTTCTGACATTATGAGCCTTTAGAATTAAAATATACAAACTCCCGAAATACGATTAATACTTTACTGATCAAGTTTCAGACATTCTGAGTAGATGATCTTTTACTTAAATATTTATATATGTATAAACATATATAATGTGTGTTCTATTTTTGCCTTTTCAGTCCTCCAATACCTGGGTAAACAGTTCTTTATATTAGATTTTCTCTGATAAAATAACTATTGTGGTTTCTGTTTTCCTGATTCGACCTTGACTAATACACAAGAAAATAGTCATTCCAGTCAAAATTCTAACAAAAAATTTTAAACCTGCCATAACTATTAAAGAGGCACATTCAGAAGAGAAAAAGAAAGAATCTAACAACAACAAAAAGCCTCTGAGAAAGAAACATAACTGCGGGGGTAGGGGGATATCATTCCTCTACCAAATGTTACAGCCTGTTATGAAGCTGCACCAACTTTACGGAATGTGATACTGGCACAGGAAAAGATAGACAATGTAACAAACCAGAAAGAACAAAAGCAGACTCAAATATTTATGGTGGTTTGACAACATCTCAAAATTATTTTAAAAAATTAAATAACTCTAACTCATACTATATACCAAAATTAGTTTGGGATAGATTTAAGAACTACGTGTGCCCCAGTGTAACAATTGATGGAGTCAAAGATCGTTAATGGATACTAATATCACAGGATGAAAGGAACAGTATATTCACATGGTGTGAAAGTGTCACCCCACAGGTTACTTACTAGTTTTCAAGGCAGATATTTGGTGATCACCACCTTAACTAAGTGATCAAAGTTAGCATCACTGCTCATGGGACAAAGAGACATTTGTGCTTCCTGACGTGATGCAACATGACATCACTTCTAAAGCATCCTAGCAAGAAATACTTAACCCAAATCTAATCACACCTCTGGACCCAACTTCCAGTTTAAAGAAAATGCAAGTGATAAAGGAGCAAGTTAAACAATAGCATGAGAAAATAATTGGACAAATCCAGAGTGCTGGACATTACACCACAAAATTGTTCTGAACTCATCAAAAAGACAATATCAGGAGGAAAAAAGAGTGGAGGCACTATTCTAGATTAAAAGAAATACAATAATGAGACTCAATGTGTGACCTTGATTGCATCCAGTCTGGGAAAGAAAAATAGCTATAAAAGACATTTTGGGCATAAGTGAGAAAGTTTAAACATGGACTGAATATTAGAGAATTATTATTAAGTAATTGGCTTAGACCTGATAATGATATTGTAAGTATATAGGGGAATGTCCTTATTCTTAGATGATGCATTTTGAAATATTCAAGGGTGAAGTGTCACGATATCTGCAAATTACTTTCAAAGGATCAGAGAAAAAGTATTATATTGAGAGAGAAAGTAAACATGACAAAAGGCTAACAGTTGATTAATCTAAGTGCATTAAATATGTCTGCTTGTTCTATTCTTTGAACTTTCTGGATGTTTGAAATTTTCAGATAAAAAATTGGGGGAAAATGTTTAAAAGTGAAGAAAACAAACTAGGAGAAAATAATAGTTAGCATTTTTATAATTATGCAATGGAGAAAACCTTTAAAGTACCATTCAGAAGCAAAAACCATTCAGTTAAAGACTCCTGGATTTAACTACATTCAAATTTAAACTTTTGAATCACAAACAAGCACCTCTGGAGAGGTGCACAAATGGCACGTTATAAACTGGGAAAAATATATATGCAACATATTTGACAAGAAAAGTTGAATATCCTTATACTGTATTTCAGTTCTTACAGCTGAAAAGAAAAAAAAATTTACACTCTGATAGAAAACTGTCTAAGAGCATGAACGGGTAATTCAAAAAAGAAGGACAAAGATGAGAAGGTATGGAATCCCTAGTATTTGCAACTGTTTGGGTGATATTTCTCAACCTTCATCAGAATTGTCTGAGATGCTCGTTAAAAATGCAGCTTTCTGGACCTTACCCATTACCTACTGAATATAAATCTGTGGTGGCGAGGCCCGTATCTGTGTAATAGAAACTCCCCAGATGATTTGTGTGGATGCTATTTGGGAATCAAGGGTATGACTCAAAATTTTCCTTCTTTCAATCTACTTACCTTTGTCTCAAAAGAAATGCAGGAAAATGGAGCCCAGTCTGAAAGTCACCTCTTCACTCTTTGGCTGTGTGCTGCCTTAGCAAATTCCTTAACCTCTTGGAACCCCCTGTTTTCTCATTAGTACAATGTGGGTAAGAACTCCCTTGAAGGGCTGTTGTACGACCCAGAGACACTGTAAAGTGCCTGGTGCTATGTTTGGCATCGAACAGCTTCCTAGTAAGTGGCGGTTGTTAGGGTTTTTGACTATAACTCTTATTCTACTGTTAAACTGCTATAATTCCTTTTTTTTTCCAGACGACGTGATCCTTTTCTTCTTCTGAGTGTGTGTGTATGTGTGTGTGTGTATTATAGCACTTTATGAATACTTGCCAAAAATTGGAAACAATTCTGTTATGAGCTGAATTGTATCTCCCCCCAAATATGTTGAAGTTCTAACCCCATGAACCACAGACTGTGGCTTTATTTGGAAATAGGGTCCTTGCAGATGTAATTAGTTGAGATGAGGTTATACTGGAATAGAATGAGCTCCTAATATAACTGGTGTCCTCAGAAGAGGGAAATTTGGCCATAGACATGCACAGAGGGAAGATGGACGTGAAGACACACTAGGGAAGGTGGCCATGTGACCAGAGAGGCAGACGTTGGAGTGATGCATCTACAAGCCAAGGAATGCCAAGGATTGCCAGCAACCACCAAAAACTAGGAGAGAGGCAAGGAAGGATTCTCCCCTACAGGTTTCAGAGGGACCATGGCCCAGCTGAGACCTTGATTTAGGACTTTTGGCCTCCAGAACTGTGAGAAAATTAATTTCTGTTGTTTGAAGCCACCCAGTTTTTGGTATTTTGTTACAGCAGCCCCTAGGAAACTGATACAAACTTAAATATTCTTCAATGGGTGAATGTAAAACAAACTGTGGTACATCCGTACAATAGGATACAACCTTGAGGCGTCTCAGAGACTACGTGAGAGAAGCCAGTCTCCAGAGGTTACATCCTGTATGATTCCATTTATGTGACATTCTGTTAAAGGCGAGTCTATAGGGACAGAGAACAGATCAGTGTTTGCCAGGCTTGGGGTGGGGCTAGAGTTTGACTACAAAGGGGAAGCGTGAGAGAAACTTTTGGAGTCACAGAACTGCTCTATGTCCCGTTTGTGGCAGTGGTTATATGAATCTAGGCTTGTGTTAACATACATAAAACTGTATGTCCAAAGAGAGCCAATTTTACGGTCTGTTAATTTAGCTATTAAAAAATGAAAATACACACACATATATATACCCAACTAAATTTGTGAACCTGTTCTTTCATCTGTAAAAGGAGGGGATCCATCTAGAGCAGTGGTTTTCATAGTTCCCCTCCCCCACCCCTCTCCCCCATCCCCACCCTTTCACCCTCCCCCCACCCTCACCTCCCACACCCTGGGCACATTGTGTCCCTGCGCACTCCTTTTGTGGAAGTCGGGGTGGGGGTGACTTTGGAGAGAAAGGGTATTCAGACTCCCCTGGGCTCTGGACCTACAGGTCTGTGACAACCAGAGTAGCTGTGCTTTTGTCTCATATATTTTTTGTCTAAAATATTCTGGATTAGAATAGCTGCTCCCAAGCTAGAGCCAGGTACCTGGGAAGTTTGAACAATCTTGGATTCCAGGTCCTACTTCTGGGGCCCACTCATTTGTCCCTTTAGCAAGTGGCCTCATGGATTCCAGGGGACCCTGGGGTGCTGGCTCTTGTGGTCAGCAATTCTAAACAAGGCCTTTTCGCGGCAGTGGGTGGGTGGGTGGCAGGGGCGGGGGCTGGAATTTTGCTTCTTGCTTGCATGTGGATTAAACACAATGACATAATGGGAACTCTGAAAAGGCTCTAAATCTAGGCCACCTCTGAGGTAGGGTCCAAAAGAACCTTAAACCATTTGTTTTCACAGACAGGATGATTTTTCGGAAGAGCACTTTGTAGACAACAAAGGGCTGTGCAGAGATGAGGGAAATGCCATTGTGAGGCTGAATTGCTGACCCCCAGCCAGCAGGGCCAAAGAGTATCATTAATAACAACAGCTGCCCTTTACTCTAAGCATGAAATAGTTCACGTGCCAGGTCCCATGCTAATCCTCACAACAACCCTGTGAGAGACTGCTTTGACAGGTGAGGAAACAGAGGCTCTGAGAGGCCCCGTGTCACAATGGGAGGAGGTGTCAGAGGCAACAGGGCTGTGTCCTGGCCAGCAGCTCCAGCTTTCCAAGCCAAGGCTCATGAGAGGAGCCCCTGAGGCCTGGTGTCAGGCCTGTTCTCTCTCTCAGCATGTGCCCTGGAGAAGGGGATTAGTATCCCTTTTCACAAAGGCTGGTGGGGGCACTTTGAGACCTTGCCATCTAGTAGAGCACTCAAAAAAATATTTTAAGATTTTATATAGTGGAATGATTTTTTTGAAATTTATTTTACATGGAAATCCAGTCTAGAAAACCAGAGTTGGGCCACTGTGGTTGAAGGTGGGGGCAGGGGTGGCCTGAGACTCCCCCAGGGCTCCCAGAGCACCTTGTGCATGCCGCATATGCACTAGTTGGCACTTCCTGTGAGAAGCGCAGGGGTTGCCATGAGGTCTAAGGCTCTGGCCTGGGGACGGGAAGAACCAGGTGGGATTCTGGGGGACTCACTCCTGGGTTAGTCAGCCTCCCGCAGGGCCCAGGGTGGAGATCCATCTGAGCTGGATACCACCTTCCCCACCCTCCTCCCTGGCCAGGCTCCAGCAGCCATGACCTGCCGCTCGCATGATTAGAAACATTGTCACCATCTTACGTTTAATGAATTTTATTGTTTAAAGGTAAGCTTTACTAAGCGGAAAAACTCCAACAACCCTCCCTTTTTGCTTGCCCTTCTAAAATGCGTCATCTAGTTTTCTTTACCAAAGTTCAACACTCAGCTTCAATGCTGGTGGAGCATCAACAGTAGATGTCAGGGCTGGCCGGGATGGCTCACATCGGCATCATCAAACGGACCTCCTTCTCGTAGATATCAGGGATCACGCCCACCGGGGAATTGATCATCTGCACGGTGTTCTTGCTGAATAGCTTGAATTCATAATGGATAAGCTGTTCCCAGAAGCCACTGTTGGGCCGGATGATGGGGCGGCATGACTTGGTCCATGTGTGAGCTTCCAGCAGCGACATGGAGTGGTACTTCATGAGGTAGGCAAGGCAGAGAGCAGCGGAGCGGCTCACGCCCGCGGCGCAGTGCAGCAGCGTGCGGCCCTGCTTCATTTCCACGCTGTGGATGTGATCAGCAATAGAGTCAAAAAAGTTGTAGAGACACGAGCTGGGAGTGTCGGCCACCGGCACCTGGACATATTGGATATCCTCGTAAAAAGTGTTGACCACCTCCACGGAAACGTTGATGACGGTCGTGATGTGGTTGCTTGACAGCAAGAGTTTGTTATTGGCGGCCGCACCATTGCTGATGAATAAGCTGCTGGTTATCTGGGAAAGGCCATGGATCGAGGGCTGCTGGACAGCCCCAGCCGGGAGAGGAGACGGCGATGTCATCAAGGCGGCAGGCGATGGTCTCTCTGGGCTGGTTTAGGGCGCCACTCCCGCGGGAGCGCTGGAGAAGCAGCAGCGCCGTGAAGTCTCTGGTGAGGGTCTGGGGGACAGTAGACCAGTCACTGGGTACCACCCCCTCCCCGCCCCCGAGCATCACAATCCCCAACTGCCCAGCCCTCTGGTTTCCATGGTAATGGCCGCTTGCAGCTGGGAGGACTTGGCCCTGCGCTGGGTCTCAGAGAAAACCCAGATCTCTTTTCTTTTTATCTTTCTTCATAGTCATTTATTTCCCAAGCCCTAATTCTTATCTGTCTTGATGTTTTAAAATGTTCTGTTACAAGATATCTATTTTAAGCTTCAATTATTGGACCACACTGAACACAATAGCTATGAATGCTTCTATTTTATTGGTGTTGAAGAACTTTTTCTACAAAGTAGCAGTATCGTATTTTAAGTTTGGGAACAGCATTTGGCTCATGTGATATGCTAATCTCTATAAAACTGCAGGGAGATATGGGTTTGGCTGGCCTTGGTGGGCTGGCATGATACTTCTTTGTTGATTGTAGCCATAGAATTATGCTTCTGCTTACAAACGCATCAGAACTGGTTATAAGGGAACATTGGTAACTGATCTATATCCCTTTATAGATTGTGAAGTTGGCCTGTGGTGGACAGTTGTGACTAATTTAGCTGTGTCACAGTCCATTTGTGTACATGGCCCAATTGACTTATCACGTGATTCTACTTTACCTGAAACAACAGCTCAAATTACCTTGTCTCCTTTATTAAAAAAAAAAAAATGCCCACATGCTTTGTAAACTACGAGTCATTTTGACCACCAATGGTCTCTTCCCAGTAATGTTAAAAATTCTGGAACAAGTCAATGCTACATCATAATTGGACCAAAAATAGATTTTTCAAATGCTACCTGAGATTTGCATTTCTTCTCAACTAAGGTTTTGTAGAATTTGACTGAAGATTTAAAAGAACTATAACCTAAAACTAACAAATTGCTTCAGAGAGCAGCCAAGAGATTCCTTCCTTTACCCTCATTCCTCATTATTTTGAGTTGTGTGCAAAGGTGTGCTGTGACTATGAGCAAGGATGAAACAGATGCCAGCCTGTTTATTAATGGTCAAGGAAATGATAACCTCAAAAGGCAACACACTTTTCTTTTTCTCAGTTGTCATTATCAGATTATTTTGCTTTACTTAAATTGTCAGTCCCCACTAATTTATCTGGAAGAAAACAGAACTCAAATACTAAATAAATATGAAAACTGTCTATTGGAGAAAGCTCAATCAGGCTAAAATTATTTAAAAGGCTTTAGTCTAACGTTTGAGATGACACCATGAGGAGCTTTGTAATCTATGGAGTAATGTGGAACCCCCTAAAAGACTATTAGAGTCTAGTTATTTCATAAGTATACACTTCTTAAACTTTAAAAATGTAGTAAAATTAACCTAAATGACTTCATACACTATTCTCAAAAACAAACATGATCCACGCTCAATAAATTCATTTATTTATTCTTTCAGCCAATGTTCTGTGACAGCCTTTCATCTCAGGGATGCTGGATGTCTTAAAATTCCACTATGGGGCTTTTCATGAGTGGATGGGGAGTTAATGTATCCTCCCCCTGCGTTTAGAAACAGGTCACTTTCAGGGTCCCACTTGTCTCTACTTTTTCTTATTTTTTAGGAATAAATGTATAAGGGACTTGCCCAAGAACGCACTCTCTTTCTGCCACTGGGAAAAGACCCTGGATGTTAAGAACTAGTTAATGTTCAGACTTCTCAATTCAGTAGTCAATGCCCTTTCCAATCTGATCTAAGCCTGCCTTTCAAATCTCATTCATTCACCAAATTTGTGTCAAGAATCTATTGTGTGCTAGGCATGTTCACCTATACAAATCTTCAATTCTGACCAAGTACATCAAACGTTCTTGGTAAATACAAAACCTGTGTTCCTGCTTCCTTACCTTGCCTCGTGCTATTCCTCTCTCTCGAGAAACCTTTCTCTCTCCTATCTGCTGACTGAATCCTATCCAAGCCTCAAGACTCAGCTTAATTAATATTAAAAAAATATCAACTGAGCATCTAGTCTGTGTCAGGTGCAATCCTAGCATTGTGCAGATCCAACACAATACACACAGGCCCAGATATCAAAGAGTTTATAGTTTGGTCAGAGAGAGAATCATGAGAGTCCACAAGAGAGGGTGGTTCATTGTTTTATGTGTGTTTGGGGACCAGGGGTAGTAGGGGGATGTCACGAAAGGCTTCACAGAAAACATGACCTGGAACGGAGCTTTTTGTTCATTTGTTTGTTCTTATTATTTTTTGTTTATTCTGTCCAAGTTTTTGTATTGAAAAATTTCAAACCTACTGAAGAACTTCAAGAATAGAACACTGAACACCCATTTACCCTTCACCTAGAATTCCTCTATTGTTAGCACCTCACCACCACATTTTCTTTTTCTCTCTATCTAGATATACAAACACGTATTTATTTGTTTGCTTGTTTCTTTTTGCTGAACTATGAGTTGTGAATAGCAGATACAGCAACACTTTAGCCTTCAGCTGTATCTCCTAAGAACAAGTACATTCCTCCCACATAACCACAGTACAATAACCACACTCAGGAAATTTAACATTGACCCAACATTATTATCTAATATGTAATCCATGTTAAAAATTCACCGATCCTCCCAATAATGTTATTTGTAGTTTTTTTTTTCTTTTATCCAGGATGGAATCGAGGATCACACATTGTCTTTACTTGTCATGCTTCCTTAGCATCTTTTAATTTGGAACAGTTTCTAAGCCTTTTGTTTTGTTTTGGTCTTTCCTGACATTGACATTTTTAAAGAATTCAGGCCAGTTTTGCAGACCATCTTTCAATTTGGATGTGTTTGATCATTCCTTCGGGTTTACATTCAGGCGAAATATTTTCGGCAAGAATCCTGCCAGAATGTGTCATTCTCACTACATCGCATCAGGGGCATATGATATCTGTTTGTCCCATTAATGATGATGATAATTTTGACCGCCTGGTTAAGGTGGCGTTAGCTGAGTTTCTAATTGCAAAGGTAACTTTTCCTCTTTTTAATTAATAGGGAATCTCTAGGGTTATACTTTGAGTTTGTGGCAATATCTTTGGAACAGGATTTTGAAGGATGAATAGGAGTCTTCCAGGTGGACCAGAAGAGGGGAACATTTAGACAAGAAAATAGTGTCAAGAGGGCAGAGAACAACAACTCAGAATTACTAGAACTGGGCTGGCCCCGTGGCCAAGTGGTTAAGTTCATGCGCTCGGCTCCAGCGGCCTGGGGTTTCACTGGTTCGAATCCTGGGCACGGACGTGGCACTGCTCATCAGGCGATGCTGAGGCGGCATCCCACATGCCACAACTAGAAGGACCCACAACTAAAATTTGCAACTATATACTCGGGGGGAGGGGTTGGGGAGAAAAAGCAGAAAAAAAAAAGATTGGCAACAGTTGTTAGCTCAGGTGCTAATCTTAAAAAAAAAAATTGCTAGAACTGACCAAGTGAGACAGAAGTGTCAGGTGGAGTGGCTAGAGGAGCTGGCAGCAGAGATCACAGAGGACCTTGCAGCAGTCCCTTGGGGTTGATCCTGTAGGCCATGGTGGCACACTGGTGTATATCACGCAGGGAAATGGCATAATCAGAATTGATTTTTGGAAGCTCACTTATAGCTATGTGGATGCATTTGTGGAGGGGGCCGCACGGTGGGGAGAAAGGCCATACTGAAGGGAGTGAGAGCTATCACAACATTCTAGGTGAGCAATGATACATTTATTGCAGACTCTTTTTCTCAAATGGAAGCTGGATCAAATCCAGATAAGGTTCATCTCCTCAAGCATACACATGGACAGGCCACATAAGAGAATGGAGTATCAAACTTCCTATGGATCGGGGTCTGGAGAGTTTGGTGTTTTTAAGGGAAGACATTGAAGGCAAGAGGCTGAGGATGTATGTAATATGTGTAAACTGAAGAATGATTGTAGTGAGGAAACCTAAAGGAGTGTAGGATGAGGGCACAAGAGAGCTAGTAGCTCAAAGGAGTTGCATGTTATGTTGTCCCATGGGTAGATAGGTTAGGTGGTCCCCAGCAGAAGGCCCTAAAGCAGAGGTGGGAGTTGGCCTGCCTGAGCACTGAGCATCGAGAGCTGTTGTATGTTAATTCCATCTTGTGTGGGGCTGAATCAGTTGTGCCACTGTATATAGCCAGCAGCAAGCCAGCTCCGTTTCTGGGCTCAGCCTGGTCCTTGGTTTCTGGACAGTGGGAGGAGACAGATGGATATGAATGCTGAAGTCTTTAAATTACACCCTCCAGTCCAGAATAGAGATATATGAGGAAGTGATTGAGACTTATTTGTTAGGTGAAAAAAAACCCAGTTTATAAAAAATGGGTACTTTTTTGTAAAGGCAAAACATATACATATGTATATTCATCATATGTATATATCATATATATATCAAACTCTTATTTATGAATCCTATTTGTGGAAATATTAGGTATCTAAAGCAGTCCTAGGTATATAATAAGAGTTCAGCAAATGTCAGATATTATTTAGTATTATATTTGAGTGGTTGGGTTAAAGGGGATAATTCTTTTCTTTTTTTAACTTGTCTACATTTTTCAAATTTTCTAAAATAATTTGTATTGTTTTTATAATTAGAAAAAAGAATCAAAATATATTTAAACATCATCAGCAGATTTTTTTGGCCTATAAAATTAGCAAAGATGAAAAACTGATGATACTCTGCAGTAACAGAATTCAGAGAAATGGGTATTCTCCTACATTGCCAGGGCTGAAGACAGGGGGATAGCGACAGTGCCCAAACCACGTGGTGGTGAGGATGGAGAGCAATGAAAACTCTAACAGTGCTGGTGGCAAGGTAAGGAGGTATAACCAGTTTGGAGACCAATTTGGCAATCTCCAGTAAAACTGAAGATGCACATACCCCCTGCCCAAGCAATGCCACCCCAGGTAGAAACTCTTGTTCATATATGCAAGAAGATATTTACAAATATTTATAGCAATGTTGCTTATAAGAGTGAAAAAATGGAGACAATATAAATGTCTACCAAGAAGAAAATAAAAATTTGATGGCATAGTCATATAATGGATACCATACAAATAGCTATGAAAACAAGTGAACTAGAGCTACGTATGTAAACCTAGATAAGCCTCAAAAATATAATGCTGTAGAAAAAGAGCAAGTTACAGGAGAAAATGTACAGTATGAAGTTTAAAAACAAGTAGAACAGTACCATATATTGTTTATGCATGCATACACCTATACATACATACGCATGTGCATACGCATGTATATATAGTAAAAGTTAAAAACCTGTATGGGACTGAGAAACACCAAATTGAAGATAGTGATTCCTCCAAGGAAAGAAAAGGATCTGGGAGGGCTAGATATGGCATTTCAATATGACTTAATATTTTATTTCGTTAAGAAAATAGATCTGAAGCAAACACGGCAAAATATTAAGGTCTGACAAACTGGATGTTGGCTACATAGGTATTTATTATCATATCCAGCAGACTTTTAGGACTGCTTGAAACATTTCATAATAAAAACAAATGAGGGAAAATGCACCTGTGCTTTGAACGAGCAATTTCCTTGCTGGTAATTTCTTTATTTATTCTAAAGAAGGCCTCACAAGTGTTCATTTTAAGTATTATTTATAAGATAAAAACCTGGATAAAACCTAATCTAGCAATAAGGCCTTGTTTAACTAGATTATGAAACCTCCATAAGGTAAAATGGTAAATTTTAAATGATAACCTTGAAGAATATTTATTGACATGGAGAAATTTCATACTATTTCATTAATAAAAAATACTATAAAACAGTTTGAGCTCAGTTTATAGAACAAAATAATATCTATTTATCTATATATATATGTTCATGAATAGAGAAAAGCCAAGAAGGATATACATAAAAATGTCCACAATAGTTATCTCTGAGCAGTTATTGCAGATGTTTTTTATTTTCTGGATTTCTCAAAAATTTATATAATAGATATATAATAGTTTTATAAGCAGAAAAACTATATATTTTAAAAAGAGACAAATAGAAAGGTTTTGGTGAGAGATAATATAGAATGGGACAAAAAGCAACAACTGCAGGATGAAGAGACAAAATCAAGATTTTCTAATATACTAAGAAGGGATGGGGAAGGAGGAAGGAACATCAT